TGAACAAGCTGCAGTGCCACAAAGCAGCAGGGGCGGATGGGATAGTAAACGAGTTCATGAAGTTTGGGGGGAAGGGGATGATCCAGCTGATGGTACTGCTATACACCTGGGTGTGGAAAAACGAGTATGCGCCAAGTAGATGGAGGGAAGGAGTGGTTGTGAACTTGTTTAAGAAAGGAGACAAGACTGACCCAGGAAACTACAGGGGTATCACACTGTTGAACACAGTAGGAAAAGTGTTTTGTAAGCTGCTGAACGATAGGATAGTGGGAGTATTGGAGAAGAAACGTAGCATTGGTGAGGGCCAGGCAGGTTTCCGACAGAAGAGGGGGTGCGTAGACCACGCATTCACGGTAGGGAGAATCATCCAAGGTAGAAAGAGGGCGGGCAAGCGGACGTACTGCTTCTTCCTGGACGTGAAAAAGGCATACGATACCGTATGGAGAAATGGGCTGTGGAAACAATTGTCCAAGTACGGGATCGAGGGGAAAATGTGGAGGGTGCTGAAGAAGATGACAGAGTGTACGAAAAGCGCGGTCATGCTAGACGGAGAACTGTCTAAATTCTTCGACATCGAGCAGGGGGTCCCACAAGGTTGCACGCTGTCCCCAACATTGTTCCAGGTGTTCATCAACGATCTGTTGGAAGTCGTAGAGGCAGTCCGGAAGGGAGTAAAAGTAGGGGACACGGAAACTTCGGTGTCAGGAATGCTGTTTGCGGATGACTTTGTTGGTATGTCGGACACCCCTGAGGGACTGCAACTGCAAATTGACGCGGCGAAGAAGTTTACTGATAAGTGGAGATTGTCTGCCAACGTTACGAAGAGTGCCGTCATGGTATGCAACGAGGGCAGGGAGGAACCAGTAGAACATAGATGGAAGTGGGGGATCGAGGAGATTGCAGTAGTGGACCAGTACACATACCTCGGAGTAGAGATCGCAAAAGATTGCTCGTGGAATGCACACATGTCCAAGGTAGCGGAAAAGGGCAAAGCACGAGCAGGGAAGCTGCACCCAATACTCGCAAACCGGCATCTCGATACACGCATCAAATTGACGGTTTTGAAGAGCGTAATCGTACCGCCGCTGGAGTACGCCGGAGAAGTATGGGAAGGAAATAAGAAGGTAGTGAAAGAACTCGAGGCGGCGCAGATGAAAGCAGCGAAAATCATCCTAGGATGCTCCAAGCGCACAAGTAATGCAGCAGTCAGGGCAGAATTGGGGATCCAATCCCTACGGTCGGGAAGAGACGTAAGGAAGCTGACATGGCAGTACCGCATGTGCGGGATGGGAGAGGAGAGGTTGCCGAGAATAGTATGGGAGGTGAAGTGGGCAAACAAAAAGAGGGGTAGACAACCCACGGAATGGGTCAAGGTTGTAGAGAACGTATGGAAGGGATTGGGCATCGACGAAGATGAAACGCTGGAAACGGAGGGTCTACAGGGGTTCAAGAAGAAGATATCTGTTGCTTGTGCCGACAGAGAAGAACAGAATCTAAGGAAAGAACCCAAGGATAAGGAGGGTCTAGAAGTGTACGGAATGTTGAAAGAAGGAATAGGGTTCAAGGATTACCTACATGGACCAATGGATGCAGGGACCAAAGCTTAAGGTCAAATTCAGGACCGGGGACATAGGCCTTCGCGAACGTCGACGAAGACATAGGACGGTAGACGACGAAGACGACAAGTTCAAATGCGATTGCGGCTTCGAATGCGAAGACAGTGTTCATGTAGTCGCGGAATGTCCGTGGTACGAAAAGGAGAGGGAAGTGTACATGACTGAGCTGGGAAGAATACAAGGGACGTACAGGGAGATGTTTGAGGCATGGAATAGAGAGGAGAGGACGGTAGCGGTACTGGGGAGTAGAAAGTGGTTTGAAAAGGCGGGAAGTGACATCGGTAGGATAGACAGACTAGGGAAGACATTTTTGAGCCACCTTTGGCAAAGTAGGAAGGAACGATTGGCCATCGGTGATCGGTCCTGTGGGAACAATGCTCCGTCCTCTCGAGGACGCGTGGTCAATGGTCTAACCGCTAAGGCATGCAAAGCATAAGAGTACGCCCCCCCCC